GTAAAAATGAACAAAAAATGTACAGTAATATTGCTTGGGGTAGTATGTACGAAATGATCTACAAAGTTTAATCCTAAAAAACAAAGAAAATTATTATTACTGAAATTACAGTTTTTACTAATAAAAAAATAGTCACTGTTTGGATTTCTTGTTTCAGCATGTTCTGGATGACTGCTATAGTTAAGTGATTGCTAGGGTGTTTGGGGTGATTGCTAGGGTGTTGCCAAAAAGTTGCTACGGTCTTCTTGGTTGTTTCTAGGGTGTTACTAAGGTGTTCTGAGTAGTTTTACACTGTGTCTACACCAGACGCGAACGGTGCGACAATGCTGTCAGTGATGCGGTCTACACTGGATGTGGTGCGGTGTGCTGCGACAACAAATTGATGCCCCGTTCTATTTCTGACATACTTCCAAGCACTCTCGCAACTTCTGACATGAAGAACAAATGGATTTACAATGGTCGCTTTGTCGTGTTTAGTGTAGACAGCCTCAAGCTGTTACATTCGGTGTAGACACGGTGTTAGTGTGTCCTGGGGAGTTGCTTGAGTGTTGCTAAGTAGTTGCTAAGGTGTTCTGAATAGTTTTAGCGTTTCCTGAGCAGTTGCTGTATAGATTGTTGTTAAGTGGTTGCTAGAGTGTTCTGGGAAGTAGAATGTTGGCTTTATGATATCTATGATATTTTGGGCTGTAGATATGGAGATTTTTTTTTCTCCACAAATCATAAGTGTGTTCCCTCTCCTTCCAATTTCCTCAAAATTGTACTATTTGAGGTTTCATTTGCGTTGGTACCACAAACAAGTAGGACGATCAATGCGATGATGTTTAATACTTGGGGTTTGGAGTTTGTTCATAAGCAGAGATCAACAGTCATAGTGATACTTGCATCACTAATAAAGTCACAAGTCTTTATTAATCTAAATCATGGGAACACAAACACTGAAGGTGATGGACAGTATAGGATAAAAACATCTAACCAAAACAAAACCCTTCATGAAAGCATCAAACTCTAGAATCAATGGCTGTGTCTTTTAGGATTACATGGTCACCTGCACAGATGTCGAACAGATCATTCTGGGAATCCTTAAACATTGCTTTATATAACAAAATGTGCTGTTGCTAAGAGCACTCAGTGTTGTTCTTCACTGTCTTAATTACAAGAGCCGGGTCAGAATGAGTAAAGACTACCACTGACCCAGATAATCAGCACCACAGAAAGTCAGTTAACGGTCTCTTTTACCCAAATTCTCTCTCTCTCTCTCTCTCGTCCGTCCCAGAGCAGATAACTCACTACACTGAACTGCAAGAGCACAGGAAGCAAACACATTAAACCATCTACAAAATGCTCCAAAGGGAGCTCATATGCGTCTTGTTGTGTCAGAGAGGATACTGCTTTTATCTTCATCGAAAAGATTCTAATTGCACTTTACTGGGTCATAACGCAGTTGCATGCCGTGTTAACGCACCACAATAGATACTTCTTGTCTCTTCCTCCCTGTCTATCAGCTACAAACACTGATGTTTTTGCATAATGTGGCCAGTGAAAGTTGATATATTTAGTGTGCTAATCCATGAGAGCAGTGGGACAGATGCTTGACATACAGACCCCCTTGTGTCTCCTATGCAGATGACCCGTGTCTGCCCTCCCAACAGTGTGGAGGTGGTTATGTCTTCATAGTATAACAGCTTACAATCAATCTGTCACCATCCCTCATAAACCTACAATCATTCCAGTTCCTTTAAAGGGGTTATATCATAATGTTTTTTTTTGTGTGTGTGTGTAATTAAAATATGTTAGCAAGGATAACACAAATAAAAATCCTAATAAATGATCCTGATAATATAATATAATTAATGCTCTCAAATCGATTAATCACATCTAACATAAAAGTTTGTGTTTACATAAATAAATGTATGTATATACAGTATGTACATGTATATATATATATATATATATACGCGCACACACACACACAGAGAGAAACACACAGACATCCTGTATATTTAATAAACACATTATATATATATACACAAGCACACATAATATGTAAACAAACTTGTTAGATGCGATTAATCAATTTGAAGGCACTAAATATATTGTATTATATTATTTTATAATAAATATAAAATAATAAATATAATATAATGAAAAAACCTCTTTCATGATATGTCCCCTTAAAAAAATCCATCCGTGTCTCAGTAAATAAACTTCTCTCTAAAACAGTATGCATCCTCACTGACACTTCTGCTTTCACTGTGCAGCAAATGTCAGTTTTATAGAGTAATGGAAATGTGATGTCATTGTGGGAGCTCTCAGTCAAAAAACCCCCCCCAAAAAACCGAGGTCATCTTTAGCAGGGCTGGCATCAGTATGGCACTCGAGCTGACTGACAGAAAAGTCTTCTAGCGACTGACACCATATGTCAAGTGTGTGTGTGCCAAGGCTGTATCTAAGGTAACCATGTGTGCCTCTGGAGCCTTGTGGCAGTTTAGGGATGATAAATTATGCACTGCAGACCGAACTGGCTCACATTCACTCAGCTGTACATGCAAAAAAATGAAGAAAAATTATACACTTACATACTTACAAACACTGTTTAGTTTTGAGTAGGGTTGGGCATAGTTTGGGTTTTTTTTCGATACCGGTGCCAAATCGATACTTTTAAAACTGTACCGGTGCCTAAACGGTGCCTGAACCGATACAATAACGACATTAAAGAACGGCTTTTTTATAAAAAAAAAAAAAAAAAAAATATTCTTAAATTTGAACAATATATTACAATTTTAAAGTATACTTAAATATATTTAAACAACAAATATATAAACAACAAATATATACACAACAATTTCACAATAAAACCTAAGCCACCTAACCCAACTACAATTAACACTAAAAAACTGTTACAGTACTAATAACAGCTAAGTAGTCTGAGACATACTCATGATTTAATTTCCTTGGAAAAAAAAAACAAATCATTTAGATGCTCTTAGTTTGCTAAGTGGTGTCCTTCATAGAGCTCATTAACAGCATACTTATACTGAACATAAAGGCCTACTGACAATAAGACTTTAAGAAAACCCTTTTCTTGCTGTTTAGTTGCATCTGACTTTGTGTTAACTAATAATAATTGTAAGTGTAATACGCAGATATTTGTAATTTGGAACTGAGTATTGTTCAAAGATTTTATGCAACAAAATCCAGTGACTAGTTCCTCAAAATTAGTGTTGCACTGAAATTTTGGCAACCAAACATTTTCAGCCAAAAGAGTTAAAACCATTTTTTTTTTTTTTTTGGATGAATTAAAACTTCAATTTCAGTTTTGGTGTTTCATAAAAAAAAATAAAAAAAAAAATGTAGGTGTATTACTCAAAAATGTTCTAGTAAATACACCCCTACTCCTAAAAATCAATCCATTAGCATTCAAATTCATTGCTTAGCTAGTTGTGGGACCCCTTGGAAGTATCCGATTTGAAATCTGCCACCTTTGCTCATGGAGGCTAGGATTTAGCCAGCAGACTGCGTCAACACCACTGTCTCCTTCCTAATTCCTGCAGTGAACATGCTTTCTGTGCCGTGCCATGCTACGTGATGTTTTGCCTCTCTTCTGTATGACAGTCAGCTGCCAGAAACAAAATAAAAACCCAATGCAACACTCCCTGGAGCACATTTCTGCTTGTCATGCTAGGTAGTCTCCCGCTCCTCCTCGACAAGAGCCACTGGGCAGGAAAATGAGCCCAACGTGGCTGATTCGCAAGTCAGATGTATCACACTCTGATGTTTTTTATTGAAATGCAAACTGCTGTATAGATACATAACCGCCTAAACAGATGAGGGCTGTTTGTTAATGGACCACAGAAGCCACCAGATCACGTCAAAATATCTAGTGAAAGTCAATTCACAAGACAGATGGTTCTGATAATGAGTGATGTAATGGCTGACAGTCAAACAGTTACTAAAAAAATTCAATAGAACGTCAGATCTTACTTCACCAAGCAAACATTCTTTGCTATATACACTCAACAATTTGCAAATATTTTAGAACAAGGTCTGTATCAAAGGCCATTTTTTGTTTGACTTATTTTGTACTGAACCTTTCTGGAGAAAGCACATTTGTGGGGATGATGTCATTGGCATGTTGAGCTCATTTGTTTTAGCTCATTCTTTCTGCATTTATTCCAGCACATTTAATCGGCAAAAAGCCAAATAAAGTGTACTAAGTGCATCTACTAGAACTGCACATGCTTAGCAAATAACATACTACAGATACTCTCTGTTGTGAGTATTGAAGCATAACTTTGTACGCTCAATTAGATCACCTCCTTTTCTGAGAGAAATAAACAGCCACAATGGGTAATTACAAGGGAAACAGACAAGAGACGTTTCAGACACAAACACATATAAAACTTCACAGGGGCCTTTGTCTCAGCGGCTTCATTCTGGGCTGCAAACCGGACCAAGATGTCTACTGTTCCCTCCCACCTCTCAATAAAAGAGACAACAAACAATGGGGTTGCCATGGTAAAATCAGAGCCCTCTGCCACAGCATGACAGCGGATTAGTCAGTGTGTCAGTTCTGCCAGAGATGTGTAGTAGCATTTCCTCCAAATCTCCTGTATTCTCACCAAAAGCACAAATGCTAATGCTTGCTAGGTGTGTTAAGATTAGATTCAGCCATCAGTGTACACTGAGGAGCTCTTCTGGAAAATATTAACTGCAGAAACTTGCAATTTACATATCATCAGAAGGCATGTAGAGACAGCACCATACATGACATGTACAAACAGAGACGGGGGAATATTTCTTAGACAGATTCTTTATACTATGATGTGGCTTTCAAGTGGGCATCTGCAAACAAATGAGTCTAGACATTTCCACAGAGCTAACTGCACTTTACTTCGGTCTCAAGGACATTTTAGTGGATATGTGCGATTTCTCATAAATATCACTTGGTTTTATATTTTGTTATATAAATGCATGTATTTTTAAGTGTGCATCTCACTTACCAGCCTCTCCATTTCCTGCTCTCTGAGTCGCTCTTCTCTTTGGCGTCGGTGGTACTCAAGAAGATCATCTTCGTTGTCACTGATCTCCGTAATGCTGTTTTTGCGCTCCCTCATGCCTGGGTGAGGCATCCGGTGGTCCCTGTGGCCTGCTGACATCTTCCGGTGGCTTCTGGGACTGGATCGGGGCGATGACCCAGGTAGAGAACCCAGGCTGAAGGCTGAAGACAGTGAGTTCCCAAAACTGCCCTTCCGTACACTGCCTTCCCCCATCAGTCCGGAGGTGGGTGAAGGACTACGAGCACGCACACCACGAGGACTGAACGGCTCCTCCGTAGGAGACCCTGCTTTCCGTCGGAGTCTGGGACTCTCTGGCACAATTCTTGGGCATGGAATCTCTGGAGTTCGCAGGGTTCCTGGTAGAGCTCCTGGGAGCACAGGAACCCCCCTGCGGGCTATAAAGGGGCTGAGAGGGGGAAGTTCCCTCATGCTGCTCCCTTCAAGGTTCCTGCGGGCCAGCCGCGGACTTTCTGGAGGCTGTAGTGTGCGAGGATGCGGGTGTGGAGGTCCACCCTGAATGATGTGGACAATGGGGTCTAAGGGGGGCTGGAAAGATCGCGAGGGTGGGGAGAGTTGGTGAGAGGGGCTGGACGTCAAGGAGCGGTCTGGCTGAGGCTGTTCCCGGAAAGGACTTGAGGGGCGATCCTGGAGAACAATGGCAGTTTTGGATCTGGGACTAGAGGGTGAGGAGGATGGGGATGCGGTGGAGAATTTGGGGGTGAATCTGGGACTACCTGGAACTGGTACCCGACAGACAGATGGGGCATCAGACAGAGCAGTAGAGATGGAGACTAAGGGCAGAATGTGAGTCTGTATGGGGCTGTCTGGGGATTTAGCCACCAAGCTGTCTTGGTTCAACCCCCTACGACTTGGCTTTGGGCTTGGCGGTGCTTCTAAAAGAGCCTTTCGCTGGAGTCTGGGACTCTCAGGCACCTTTGGCCCACTGCTGCCACTGGAATAGCTGGGCAGTATGGTCCGTGGCTGAGGTATGGGTGGCTGGCTGGTGTAATTGTAACTAGAAGACCTCACTGGCACAGGAGGAAGCGTGTGAAACTGGTCCTGACAACCACTCGGCGAGGGACTGGTGTAGCTGCCACTGCTGGCGGGCGATGGGGACGAGAGTGGAGAGAAAGGAGGGGAGTTATTCTCGTAACTGGAGCCCACAGACATAGCACCAGGGCTCGTTGGGGGTGAGAGAAGGAAGCGCCCCCCTCCATTTAACATGGGGGACAGGGGAGACTGGGAGATAGGATGACCAGAGGGCTTCTTTGACTCAGAGGAAGAGGGCTGAGGGTCATCCATGACTAATGAGTCCATAATATCCTGAAGGTCCTTCTCAATGGAACTGACAATGGCACTGTGCTCAGGGCGCACTCTCTCGTTGGAGACCAAGTGAGATTTTGGCGCTCCTGACGGGTGGTTCCCATTGACCAAGTTCTCAGAATCTGAAGGAAAATATAGCAATTATAAGCATTTGCCATACACAACAATCAAAAGGCATATCTTTTAGAACAGTTCAGGTGTAGATTGCTTATTGATTCATGATTAAAACGTTCCATCTTTTCAATGATTCGGTGAAAATGGTTTACAAAACTTGTCTGAATGATTTGTCGACAAATCACCAAATATTTTAATTGAGAATAGTCTCTTTCAAACTATTGGGTGAGTTGATAATGAGCACTAGGTGAGCACTTGGACAGTATTTAAGGATTTGACTGATGGATCAAAAAGTAAGTTACATTAGTGTAATAGCAGAAATGTTATTAAAAAAACATACTAGAAATATGTTAATGACTGTTAATGAAAGAGTTACAGAAGCTTCAGCCAATAAATGTAAATTAATTTTAGAATTGTTTATTGCACTAACAAATATAATTTGGTTTTTTATTAGCTGAATCATGCAACAAACTAAACTAAACAGGGACAAAGTTTTGGAGCATTTCATACTTTGTGTCTAAATGACATCATTACATGATGTAAATAAAATCCTGACCTTGTTAACTGAAACAACCGGTTCAAAATAATCAATTCTCAAAAATGAATTCCAATCACTAGCCAGATGAGCCAAACCGAGTACAGAAAACTAGAAAAGCACTTAAGAGTAAGTGGATGCATTTGGCTTCTTCTCCTCACATAACCCCAATTATTATCCTCAGTACTACACCTGAGCTTTTAATGCAAGTACCTGCAGCTCTTTTGGCACTGAAGAGATGCATTTAATCCATTAGCCCCATTCAACAACCTCCAAGTTTAACACTGCTGCCATTGCCAATCCCACAGAAGACGAATGCTCAAGTAGAAAAAGTGGCTACCAAAAAGTCTGCCAGGCTTCAGTCTGAGAGAATAAACGTCAAATGAATATGTGCTCATATAGCTAAATCACAGACAGCCCTGCTGGTAATTCAATCTATCTCTCAGGCAACTGACCATCTCAAATGGTTCATCTACTAAAAATGAGACAGACCTACAAAGTAAAGATGGTAATTATCTAAACTGGGGGTTTTCAAACTGTGGTCCCGGAATCCCCAGGGGGCTGCAAGGGGGAGCTAGGGGGCTGCAAGGTAATACTATGGTAACGTTCTTTGTAAAGCTGCTTTGAAGCAAGTACTACTATAAAAGGCAATTCAATTCAAATATATTTGATTAAACAATTTTTTGTTGTTGTTGTTGGAAATACTTATATTCAGGTTTATACAAATAACATAGTATAATAGTGTGTGTGTGTGTTATGGACTTATTGTAAATATATTTGTAATCATATTTCTAAATAATATTTTAATAATTTGCTTGGCTGTAGTAGAATTACAAAACAAAAGCCAATTGTTTAATTTTAGACAACATGTATTATAATATCATGCTAATCAAGTTTCTCACACATTACAAATGGGCCTGTATACATGAAGTACAGAGATCCTTTATATTTTAGGAAAGGGGCCCTAAAACAATAGTCATATTTGGGGGTCCTTGGCATCACAAAAGTTTGAAAACCTCTGATCTAATCAATACTACTTAAAATAACCCCCAACTTATGATTTCTTCCGTCAATTTGGAACAAAATGATATTTTTTTTATTTGATAAACCCAAATGTAACACTTATCAAACTTATTAGATTTGTGCTTTATAGTCTAGCTACATAAGATTGTGAGTCACAGTCACAGAACAGATTTCACAACATCCAAAACTTGATCAATCTTGCTCTTGCCAGCTAAGCGTTTGCGTTTAACCCACAAATCTCTGTCCTGATTACAAAACACTCTCTGTTCAAACTCCTCACAAATAATGCATAAAACACAACCCCCTTTCCAAGTTACAGATCCCCCTTTTTTATATAGTCATCGTGGTTTAGAAATAAGTCAAGAGCAGCTGACGATGCCTCTGGCTTAATTTTCCATTCAAATCCCACTGAACAAGAAACGGTTTTAAGAATAGCCTACACAAATACATAGATGAAGATAGGCTAATACATTAATTCTTCCATGTCACAAAATAACACTTCAGCTTCGACTATAAAATGATACATATGCTATACGTCCGTATGCCGATCTGACACATACAGTCTATAATGATCAGTAGCTTACTTACAGATGAGAACACGCCTGTGGAAACGCTAAGCCGTTGCGTTTGGTTTATAACCCATAACCGAGCTCAGATTCAAAAGAACGGCTCCCGCATTCCGAGTGTAGACCTAGGCCAGCTGTGCCGGCCACACGGTACCCAGGCAGGAGTAAAACGCCGCAGATGAGATATTCCAGCCGGGCTTGGTGAGCCTGGCGCCGCTACACCATCGCTGAGTCCCCCTCCCTCCCCTGTCCACGGTGCTGATGTGACTGACTGCTGGCTGCAGGGGCGGGGCCTACACTCTTAAAGCGACAGTGCACATTTTCATGCTATATTCATATGGACACTGATGTGGCTGTGGGTTTAAATAAAAAAGGCTCCTTTTTTTCTCACACAAACTGGTAGCTGATATGCAGTATATACTAGTTCATAATAATATAATATAATATAATATAATATAATATAATATAATATAATATAATATAATATAATATAATATAATATAATATAATATAATATAATATAATATAATATATGTTAAGTAGCCAAAGAATAAGTGGGATAATGTAGACAGACACAACAATAAAATATTGCATGCTTCTCTGAGTCATACTGAAATATCATCAAGAACGTGGAGCAGTCCTGCTGTATTAGAACGAGGCAGCCGGATAATTGAGGGAATATGAGGGGAACAGTTAGGAGGGGATTGGAGAGCAGGGTGGGTGGCAAGATAAATATAGATATTGTAAAAGATACCCCTCAACTTTAAATAAGCAGAGCATGGCCAACAAAGCTGTCTGAACTGAAAAAGAGATGCAAGAGGAAATAGCTCTGGCACAGAGAAAGTGTGAAGGGGGTTCTTTTCCTCTATAAATCAGTCTATAAACAAATATCAGATGACAAAAGTGCATGAACAGCTTTATATATGCAAGTCTGAAAAATATTTTAGCTATGTAGTTTTATATAATTTAGACACTGTGAAAATAAGAACAAATAAATGGTGAATGGGAATGCAGCATGCAGTATGTTGTTTATGAAAATTTCTTTCATGGTGGAGAGAATTTATTACCAGCTCAGGAAATGCACTGCACCAGCTGTGTTTATATGCTATACGTGTCCTTTTCTGCCACACAACAGGAAAAGTCAGGAAAACAACTCGGTAAATATTGTAAATGCTCTGTTTAAACATTGGCTGCTGTGTAGCACTGTGAGTGGGAGTGGAAGATGTAGAGCGCTCTGTCAGGAGACCCACAGGAATGAGTTTCTCATAAAAGTTGCATGGTGCAACTCAGGATCGAGGCAGGCTTGTATTGCTAACAGTTTGAAACGGAAATGCAGAAGGCCCAGCTGAAAGCTGCTACCTGTGCTACTGAAACAAAGCTTGCCATTCAGCAATGTGGCAACACCCTGTAAGCCCAAATTTGCATAAATGTCCCATGTGTAAATCTGCATCTGTTTCTTATCCTTACACCACTTGTTTTCTTGTTTTCTACATACGTAAAAGCACATTTATATGCAATTATGTCATAGATGTCACATACTCTTTTGTATTATTATTTCAGACAGTACACGCAAGGTTTTTAAGCTCTGAAGGAATGTTTTTTTCCACACAAATGACGTTCTACACAACACAGGCTTTGAGGTAAGCGTTAGATAATTCATGCCAGAGTCACGGTGTGTTGTGTTCTCCTGTGGGATATTGCGTTACCTGTGAGGGCCCAGTTTTTCACACTGGCTTTCTGTCCTCCCTCAGGCATCATGCTTTTCATTCGGAAAGCCTCCTCGGGGTGGTTGAAGCGGTAGAATGCGGACTGGCCGAAACACAGCATACAGCCTGCACACAAACCAAAACAACTATTATGAAGTTGAGAATGAAAGTGTATAACACTTGACATCAAACATATGCCCGAAGAAAGCATTTCAAATGATCTTGGCAGTTTTAGACCAGTTTTGTACCGCAGTGTGAGAGGTATGGAGGGGGGGAAAGGAATATTTGCCATGAACAAGCAGGAACATCTCACACTTTGGTGTCGGATCAGACTCCTGGCTTGCTGAGTGAGGGGAAAAATAGACAAGCCAAACTCTGGTAGTGTAGAAAGTTAAAGTCAACATGAGATCTAAATGAACCCTTTTTACTTTCCTAATACAAGCTTCTGGTCTTATAATGAATGATTTCTTTCTTTTTTTGCTGATGTCACCAAGCCGTCTTATTTTTGAGCCGCTTCCATCCAACCATCTGTCATATAAAGATCACTTTTAACAAATTAATTAATTTCCGGCAGATCAAATCAAGCACTTTTTAATATATCAGTACCATATTGGTCAATTCTTTTTTAAATTATTGTATTGTCAATATTGAATATGTATTGATATTACATATTTATTTGTGAATGCTTATTTCTGTCTGTTTTTTAGATTACCTTTACTTACATAATTATAGTATACAATAACATCTGTCATTTATCAGTTTTATTATTTATCAGTCCTGAACACTGTTTCATGTTAGCTTTAAATGTGAGGCATATACAGAAAGTGCTTTAGTGTCACTAATGGGTAAATTTACTTTATCAATACATTTATTTAACACATTATACAAGGCAAAAATAAAGAAAATAGCATGTACAGGGTATTTATATGATGACTTAGTTGGTGGTCTCTCAACAAAACAAAACAACAATGAAATAAATAAGATAAAACAAACTGGGGGGAAATGCAAACAAACAACATAAAAAAAAACACTTTTGCTATATAAATCTCCCTGATCTATTCTGGCCAATCACAGTATTTATTGAAGGCAGGTAAAGGTCTCATGGAAACCTTTCCAGCCGTAGCAGATGTGTGATGAATGCGGAATGCCAGATGCCCTTTTGTTCCAGGAAGAACATTTGATTACCCCTCAGGTTCTGAAAGGACAAAGTACGCTTAGAGCACAATGAAACTAAGAACCGCTCAAGTAAAGTAAATCGTGTACTTATTCTCACATCGATGTGTTTTCTTTCATGTTGTTAGTGAATAAAAGAATATGGATTGTTAACTGATGGTCCCTGTTGTCATAAGACTCTTCAAGAGGATTGCTCAAGTCTTGACATGCTCTGCACATTCAAAGTCAACTAGGTGAAAATAAACAAGAAAATCATAATACACAAAACACATGTGTAGAACAGAAAGTTACAGTATAGTGTTTAAATGAAAAAACTTGTTTACATGCCTGCCCAAAAAAAGTTTTATTTGAAGAAACAGTATATTGATGTATGTGGTGAAAAAACCACATCAGCCAAATGTTGTTTCATATATGTCATGTTTGGGTCCTTGTCGAAATCATATTTGAGTGTTTTTACAGACAATAACTGTGGCATCCACTGCATCAGCACGAACCGCTCTGAACAGCTCAATCATTGTGAACAAGCCATCAAATAACAAACCGACAGCAGCTCCGCCTTCCTATTTTACACTATAGCGTTGTGCTCAAATTGGGATTGTACAAATGTGCCATTAAAAATGCCGCACAGCATCTAATTCAGTAATGTGGTAAATATGTGCTTGTGATGGCAAGCAAGCTTGAGCAATTCATCTGCACTGCTTCAAGAGAAAAGCTTTCCAAACTCTAAAATTACAGTGAGTTATACCAAAAAACAGAGTGTTCCACTAGATCAGAGCCTATGTGTTGATTCTGATATTGAAAACACTTAGTTCAATATACTATCTATCTATCTATCTATCTATCTATCTATCTATCTATCTATCTATCTATCTATCTATCTATCTATCTATCTATCTATCTATCTATCTATCTATCTATCTATCTGTATCTATCACGCAACACAACAAGATTACTTTAAATACATTTTCTCATATGTTACCTTGTTATTTCATCTGACTCCAATAATGAAAATCTATCTGTCCATCTGGGCCTCAAAATATCCCAGAACAACATTGAACGAAATAAACATCATGCATGGTCATAGCTGAGCTTCACTGTTCCACCATGAGGGAAACCAGCAGTAAGTGCAGCATGCAGAGCTCAAATGAGCTCCAGACCACAGCTCAGACTGCAATTCAATCAATACACAGAAGGAAAAAAAAAGAAAAAGAAAGTGAAAAGTTAGTGCACACACATTAGGAGCAGTGAGTGAACACACAATCACTGCAAACCGCACACCCGGAGCAGTAGGCAGCCATTTTTCCTGTGGCACCCGGGGGATTGGGGGTTAGGTGTCTTGCTCAAGGGACCTCAGTCGTTTCCTGCCGGTACTGAGAATCAAACCTGCAACCTTCGGGTTACTAACTCTCTAACCATTAGGCCACGACTGCCCCATGACTGTAAAAACTTAGCGTATTTGCCCTTAAGATCTACTAACCATGTAAACCATCATTACTATTTCAAGCACACTGAAAATTATTTTTATGATCAATAAGTTATGAAAACATGTTTTTACATTGCTTTAACTCATCAAAATAAGTTTCAACTTTTTTTTTTAAGTTAAACAAGATTCAAATATTTTTTTAAACATCAAAGTTGATTGTACTTAAAGGTGCGATATGGAACTTTTCTTCTAAAAATGAATCCTTTTTTTATTGGCTGTGTGTGAAGGGGTAGTAATCACACATTACAATGATCCACTTGTCGGGTTTTGCTATTACCTCTGAAGGCCAGTATTCCTATTTCTATGTGAAGTCTCCGGGTCGGATTTACCGCGAAATCCAACGGATGTGACGTGCGCTCCCGAGCCTCTCTCCTTATATACAGTCTATTGTAGACGGTCAGGGAGTTACGTCCGGTTAAAGGCGCACGTTTTTCGGCTTATATCTCAGTCAATCTTTGATCAATATTCCCAAGACTCTAATCGTTCGTAGTGCTGGACGGGGCCTTTTGAACGAGCCCACCCCCGAGGTCCAAGTCGCCCGGCTCCCCGAGTTATAGCCGTTCGAAATCGGGGGTCCCAGCGAACAGCGATCCGGTAGGGGGCATCCCCGAGGCCCGCCACTCTAGCGTTCGGGCAAGGGTTCCCCTGGGACCTCCTCCCCCAAATTTGAGCTCTCTGGGTCTTTGCGTTCCAGAGATACGAGCGATTTTCTTCTGAGATCGTGACGTCACCGGCGTCCGCAATTTTGCAGCGCGCCCGATGGTTTTCTGCTAATATCTCCGCGAAACACCACCAAAAACTATGGAACTTATATGGTTCTTTTCAGCTCGACTAGATGGTCCCAACGAGCTCGGTGCTCGCCGAATCCGTCTAGTATTCGCCGAGATATTTGCGTAATAGACGGTATTGTCTATGAGTTTGAGCACGAGCGCTCTTGTAAAATTTGGTTGCAATCTGAAACATCACCACTAGGCACTAGAGGCCGCTAAAAGTTACGTAGAGCACCTTTAAACATTTAAGGTAGCAACTTTCTTTACCGAGCATAGTTATATTATATATATTTTTATTTTATTTTATTTATGTTAGTTAACTTTTATCATTATGAAGAGCAAAGTTCCAGGAAGTGGTTGAGCACTATTGTAAGCTTTCTTTCAGTGCAACATTTCACAGAAACATAGTTCATATTACGCAGAGAACAGTGGGATATCAAATATAATGTCTTTGTTTATGTGTGGCAGAAAGTGAAAAGGTCTGTGTTTAATATAGTCTTGGTATGCAGGAAATGATTGATAGAGTAATACCAACAGTAAACCATGGGGTAAGAAATCCCCATGGTGTCTGCCATACTGAGAACAGCGCAGTAATATTACATAAGTTAATATGATACACACACAATGTCTCATGAATAAGAAATATAGCTTGCAACGAATGACCAACCTGCATTTTAACACTTTAGGTGTCAGTGAAAATCACTGAAAACCCATTATATATTTTCAGATTGGCCACTACAGTGCCTCAAAGGTTGATGGATTTACCCACAATGCTAAGTGAAGAGTCTGAAAGTGGATTTATGGAGTGCAGCGATGGAGGGTAATCTACAACACTACAGCACACAAGGGAAAACACATGAGCCAAGAATCACACCTGCTGAGGAGGGAATCTATCTATCGATCTCCGCTCCTGCCGCCATGCGTTTCAGACGTGCTGCCAGCATCTACTGAATGATGCCCAATTACAATAATCAAAAAAACATCAGACGTCAAGCCCACAAACCGCCCACAGTCACAGATGATTCTGGTCTGAAGGGGGCACCGAGTTTGAAAATGCAATAGGGGTAAAATCCTAAGTTAAACACGGACAGTGTTTCCCCTGCTACTGTTTATAGATGGCCTCTCTCTGCCAGTCATTATGAATAATTTTAACACGGATATTTTTGGAAGTCAAGGAGATGTTATGAATCACGATTCCAGCCTCCTGTGGCACTGCCCCTCGCCGCAGGTATGAATGTGTGATCATGGTGCTTTCAATGAGGCGTATTTACCTATTTTTAAAACGAGGTTTAGTAATTTAGGCCTTCAAATACATTTATTATGCTAAAGTATTTTTGGAAAGTTCGACTTTACACATTATTATTCACTTGACTTTTACTTTTATACTAAATATTTGTTTTCTTAACTGTATTTTAAAGAGAATATTGAGTCTTTTAATCCAATACATTTATCCAGACCTTTTCCTTACATTTGTGTTTGGAAAGTGCAAGAACATAACAGTAGTAAAGCTTCAGTGAATCAGTGAACCTTTTGTTCAGTTCGGTTACTTTGAATCAGCACTTTTTTTGAGATCCCCCTTCAGTGGCAGCTTATTTTTATATTTCTTTATTTTTGTGCGTTTGTGTGATGCCAAAGATCAATTGATCAATTTTTGAATCCTTAAAACTGGTTTGCAAAGAGGTCTAAAGATTACTTTTTGCCAATCATGAATCTGAATCTCGAGAGGCACACCAAACAATGCATAAGGGTCCATTCATGCAGGGTAGTGAATTGTTATCCCTCTCGAATATTACCTATATAGCTGTTTGTGAATGTAAAAGGTCTGCAAAGTATTAAAGATCAAAGTGCATGACAAATAAAGTTATTGTCTCCTGAAAGAAAGAATTGATTCTGAACTGCCGAAACGAGTCGTCAGCAATTCCAGTCTCACTTTGGTAACGTATCTACGTAGGTTTGTAACAAATTAGCATAATGTCAGCCTATGATCTTCATTGGCTGCCCGCAAACAATGTCTACTTTGTCCTGCCCTTAAAAACTGTAGTTGTAGCTAAGAATCTGCAATGGGTTTTTCATTTCCCAGACACACTGTAAGCAGTAGACCAATCACAACACACTGGGCTGTCTGACCAATCAGAGCAGAGCAGGCTCTCGGAGAGGAGGAGTTTTGAGAGACTGAATCCTTTATCGAGTCCTTAATTCACAGTGAGAAAAGAGATGATGTGCAATGTATATAATGGGAAAATTAAAGTATTTTGTTTTGTTTTTACCTTGGATGCATATAATAACCCTATCGTAGGAGACCTCCAAAAGAAAATTGGGAACATTTAAAATAGCATAATAGGGGCATTTTAAAAAATGCTAATCTTTTAAAGAAGCACTGACAAGACTTATATTTACTTAATGTTCCATTATCATAGTGAATTCCTCGATTTCAAAACCACTATATATCTGCAGCAACTTTGGAGTAACAGAAAAATATTGCACAAAAAGTATAAAGCATACCGATGACTCATTTTTTAATTTCTGTTGAAATAAGACACATTTTCCAGAACAGTGTGGCCTGCTCTTAAGAGCAAAACCACTAAATAACCTCCCCTTGTCATAGATGACATCCCCAGCAAAGCATGACTAAGAGCCATTTTGTAATCAAATTCATGAGGCCATTTGCAAGAAGACAGGCCTCACTGGCGAATGACAAAGAGTGGAGAGAGGCGCGTGAATCTGGAAAGCACAGCAGGAAAGTGTCTGTTCCCCATGCACAGCCCGTCTCCCCAACATTAATCAGAGAGATTGATTCCCCACCGTTCCTCAACACAACATCCATAACTGCACTGTGAGAAGCCAAGCTCATTAAAGAAAGTGCAAGAGTAACCATGCCAAAATCACCTGACACGTAATAAATGAATGACATAGCAGTGAAGGTCATTTTTAAGAATAAATATTATTTGTTTATTTGTTCATCTTATATTTTTATTTTAGTTAAAATACTTAAATATACAGTATATATGTAAATAAAATATAATATATTATTTACAATATATATATAGTAATTAAAAAAAACTTTATATAATATAAAGTAGTAATATTGTTATTATAATTGTATAATTTATTATAAATACTTTTTCCATTTAAAAAAATATTATTTAATAATTTATGTATAATGTATCAAAATAGATTTTATCAAATAAATGGATGGGTTATATAATATTATATATAATGTTTATATATATATATATATAATTATTAATAATTATATATAGCCTAGTATATCATTTAATTAATGGTATTGCTATTATATAATTTTATATAAATAAATTATATATTTAATTGTATTTTTCGTGTTTATATCTGGGGTCTCTGAGACCCCAAATATAAATAATGTAACATTTTAGAGAGTTTAAGTACAATTTAGTTTACAATTTAGTTCTTTATCCTTCAATGTTAAGTGTGTTTTATGAGCTAGGCAAGACCCTCGGGGTCTCTCAGACATCATATAGAACATGCCAAAATTTCTAAATAAGTTTAAGAAAGCCATATCTCTTCATTTTCTAACACATGAAAGCAATACAAAAACAGATGACCTTACTGTATAGCACAAACCCAGTAGTGCATCACAAATATGGTGGGAAGAGTTCAAATTTCTTCTAAAAGAAACAATAGTGACTCAGAGACCAAAGTTCTTCATCTTGACTTGTTATATCACAGCGATGAAAAGGGCTGCATATAAAGTTTGGTTGTTTTCGACAGTTATTCACACCAGTAGTTATCCAAACCACAGATCAGAGCAGTACAGATCCACCTCATGCACTTTCAGTAAAAATAAAAGTGCTGGATCTGTGTCAAACCCATTGCATAAATAATTGCATTATTGTTTAGATCTCAATAAAGCTGGCGGAACAGAGAATGGTGAGTCACGGGTCCCAACTCGTTCCAATTCATGTGAACAGGAGACAGAAGACGTCAAGACAAAAATGCCAAAAAGAACGCTCAACGGTTGCCATGGCGTTAAGTTTTACTGCGTCTGAAAAGGTCAAAAACTAAAGCAACCCAGTTTTTTCATTCTAACCTTTCCCCAATTCCACACATACCAGAAATCATGTGGCTCACAGCCATAAATGATACAGCTTATGTGTGCCAAAGATAAAGATAAATAAGATAAATCATAATGATCACAACACCAAGTGTTTAATCTCATGTGAAGGCTATGAAAATGCATTGTAACAAATCATTCTGCATGTAAAATGTAGATGACACACAAAAAAGACTTTCAAGACATGGACCAACCTCTTAGATGGAGGCCATTTCTTGAGCAGATGGTTTTACATTTAGTTCAGAGGAGGTTATGTATGAACATGGTAACAACAGGGTACTTAAAGCAGAATAATAAGGAGAAATCGCCTTATCTTTCCGTCAACTATTCCAGCAGGGTTGCCAGTATACGTTCAGGACAAATAAAAGCATGTGTGGATAGTCAGACTGAGCAAACAGTGTGTGGAGAATGAGGAAGGGCTGCATAGAAACAGGATTAGCAGCACTCTTGGGTCACATTGACCAGGAATAGAAGTGTAACACTATACACACACTCATGCCTCGGCCAACATGGAAGAGAAAACCTCTCTGCAAGATTTGGACCGGTTTATTGTGGGCAATGCGTCCTGTGTATTCACATATTATGATAATATTATATTTATGTTAGTGTAGTTAGTTATCTTATTCCTATCATCCATCTATTTTCTGTTTTGATGATTATAAAAAAAAGAAGAAAAAAAGTCCCTTATGCTCACCAAGAATGCATGTATTTGATCAAAAACCAGCAATATTGTATATTATTACAATTGTTCTATTTTCATATATTTTTCAAATGTCATTTATTTCTGTGATGTTAAAGCTGAATTTTCTGCATCATTACTCCAGTCTTTAGTGTCACATGATCCTTCAGAAATCATTCTAATTTTTCAGGATTCTTAAACTGAAAGTTCAAAAGAACAGCATTTTTAAATATAAATCTTTTGTAACACTATACATTTTTTTACTAGCACTATCAATTTAATGCTTCCCTGCTGAATAAAAGTATTAATTTCTTTCAAGAAGTATATGTTAATACAACAACATAATGAAGGCAACCTATCTAATAGAGAGCTTATATCTGAGATTTGTATCTATTTTGAATATTCATTACTCAAACCAATTTATTAGGTCTTCATACACTTACTTTTAAATCCAAACGGTCAACTTCCCGTCCCATCTGTAGGTAACATGCTATCTGTCCCTTTAAATGGGAAAGCACATGGTTTTATACTACAACTGTAGCATGCAGAGGCTGAATTGCTTGGTCGTGGTAAATCCTTTGTTCATGAAGTATTCATCAATTATTCCCCATGCTTTATATGATTTCTTTATCGTTAACAGTGCAAATAGCTGTCCAGTGCACGCAGTCGTAGTGAGGAGGCTTCCACTATAAACCATACATCTCCACAGAAATATAATCCTGTCCAACGAATGGCAACCCAGAGGTGGTGTATTGTATCCAAGCACTTTTGAAGTCCCTGAACCCCTGCACGCTTTCGCACTGATGGGTGGTAAAGTTGAACAGCTGTCTCCGTCACTGGTGCAACAAATTTCCCTCTCAGATTAGGGATGGGAAGGAGGAGGTGTAATTGCTCACCCCTGAGTCAGAGCCTCCAATCTCTGCATGTCAGCGGGTGGGGGGCAAGAGGGGGTTTCTGTTTCACTTACTGCATTTAACATTCTTTCCACAGGTTCCTGCTCTTTTATGACTTTACACATAGCAGATAATAAAAACACGGGCTGCACTAAATGAGACTTTTACTATGATCATTAAACTAAATATTTCAGAGCAAACGTATTGAACAATAGTGAAACACTAGAAGCTCGCACAATGAAGATTACCCCAAACACACCCCTCCCCCCAACCTGTTTATTCAAATTGTTCCCTCAGACAAAAGACTCAGAGGAGGAGCATACTTTCTTTCGGTTTGGGTGCATTGTTTCCTTTTCATAGATTTTACACTTCAGAATCATGCTTGAATTTTGGCGTGACTGATGCGGATCACCAAGTAATGACTGAAATTCTTGGCCATATTTGATTTGAATGAAGTCCTGAAGGATTGAACTATTGCAAATGAACAAAAGCTACCTTGAGACAGGCGCACAGGTTTGGTGACCAGTAGTCCGTCCATGCTACACTGGTTTCCACAGGGGTGCAGAGTGATGACTCCAGCCCTGTTCTCGATAAAGCAATGCTGAGCTGCGATCCCCGGGCCCTGGATGCTGATGTCCATGGCTCCGTGACCCAGAGTGGTCTTGCCTAAAACAAACAACCCCCACAGGATGTTGATTTCAAAGATTATTTGCTCTCAGACAACATGTACTACTGAAAATTTCAGGTTGAAAGTACTACTCAGGTGAAGTTTGGAAAGCGGCCAATGAAAACCCAGGCACTTTTATGTATATTTTACTTTTATGCACACTAATGTTCAAAAAGTTTGTCGTCTGTAAGATTTTTTGATGTGTTTTTTTTTTAAAGAAGTATCTTATGCTCACCAAGCACCTTTATTTGATCAAATATACAGTAGCAGTAATATTGCAATTGTTTTGTATTTGAATAATTTCAAAATGTAAATTATTCCTGAAATGGCAAAGCTGAATTTTCAGCAGATATTACTCCAGTCTTCAAAATCATGCTGAATTTGTGCTCAAGAAACATTTTTTATTATCAATGTTGAAAACAGTTGTGCTGTTTAAACTTTTTGTGAAAACCATGATACATTTTTTCAGGATTCTTCGATGAATAAAAAGTTCAAATTTTTTTTTAAAAACATTTTAAATGTTTTTCACTGTCACTTTTGATCATTTTATTGCGTCCTTGCTGAATAAATTTTTATTTTTTTAATTGACTGACCCTTTTGAACTTTTGAACGGTATCTGTATAGATGTTATTGCCTTAATACTCATCCGATGTTCAATGAAAATCATCATAAACCATTGCAATGCAATATATATTGTGTCAAAATGGTTTATATACATTTTTACATAAATATTGACTGGCATAATGTCTATTACAAACAATCTTAATAGAGATTTTTAAAATTATAACTTAATTATAATTTTGTGTACTAAGTTACTAAGAAGATAAAATTGTCAGTGAAGAGCTTGATATAAGTATAAGACGCATGTGAATTATGTACAAAATTATAATAAATGTATTCACTGTTAGACGTTGTAAGTGGATATTCAATAAACTAGTTAGAGTGTGAATATTGTTTTAAGAGATTGAATGTGCACATAGTTGAAGAAACGCCCATAAATAACAATTATATATTATTTCAAACATAAACAGTATGTGTCATTTATCGTCTTCCAGATGTGTGATGCCTATAATGTTAAATTAAACTGAAGCGAAATCACTGATGTTGGCCTGCTCTTTGTCAGAGAGAAGAACCACATTCCTCAAGCCGCTTTTCATCTGCCCCATCCACCCTCATCTGTTATCAGGCACGAGATAAAAACCTGTGACCTGAGAGGACCTCAGAATCACACAACCTAGTGTATCAGTTTATAATAATAATACAGTGCAGCTGAGTGCACAGAGACTAATATAAATAAAATAAGCATTCAAAACCTCTTCTCCTGTGCCCTTTTCATAGCCTTCATGATAACTCCATGTGTCTCTGAGGAATTCAGGCAGATGGACACACTGATAAAGGAGACACTGGTGAATGGCTTGTCAGTATCAGAGAAAGTAAGTAGGTGGAGATGATGGTGGGAGGTTAGCGAAGGAGGGGGTTTCTCTAATTAAGAGAGGGTGCTTTTAAAGACCCCATGCTGCTAAAGGCTCCGGGTTGGGTTATTATCTTTTCAATCACAACACAGAGGTGATGCAAGGGATTTGACCATCTGTGCATAGGCCTATATGTATTATACTAAAGGTTTGTATTTCTTCCCACACAATTGCATTATTGGATCATATTTTGAAAACGTTCTACTTTTCCCCTAAAACTTTGTAAAGATGGAGAATCTTGGAGAAAAGGTTGCAAACATCTAGAAAAAGTCAGTCCACTGAAGTACTATATCTTATAGTATGATAATATAATAATATATCATGAATGGTAACACTTTAGTTTAAGGTCCAATTCTCATTAACTAGTTGCTTATTAGCATGCCTTTTACTAGGATATTGGCTGTTTATTAGTATTTATAAAGCACATATTAATGCCTTATTCTGCGCAGGACCATATTCTACATCCCTTAATCATTCCCAATTCCTAAACTTACTAACTATTAAGAAGCAGTAATTAGGAGTTTTATTGAGGCAATAGTCAGAGTTAATAGTTGGTTAACAGTGAGAATCAGACCCTAAACTAAAGAGTGAACATATAAATATACCTATACAATAATAACCTTACCTTCGGGCAGGGGTAAGAGGGTTATGGCTGTACTGAGACGGCCACTTCCTAGACTGACCAAATGGGGGCGCTCTGCTTGAAACTTTAGTGCTTTCCCGGTCTCGAACAAATCCAGAGGAGTGCTCTAAAAAGAATCGTAAATTAAAAATGTTATCGTTGTCTCATCCTCATGTGTTTCTAAATCCATACGACTTTGACTGCATCCGAAATTGCTTACTGACAGTTTGGGTAGGTACTCAATTACACTTTATTTTTAATGTAAGAGGGGGTGCGGCCATTTGTTACTTGAATGAGCAAGGCTTCCGGTGACATCCGTTTCCAGTTATTTTAGCTGTACAAAAACAGTTCGTTATGCTGCTTGATATTACGATATTACAAACTGATATTTCGTTATCATATTATTTTAATCATCATAATCATACACACACTGATTTGTAGTGCAAACAGTCAACTGCATTTTTTTATTCTTCTAATTATTAACATATCTAGATATTTACCAAATGAATGTGATATCTCATTCACAGATAATAGCTTACTTCCGGATTGCAAAATAAGGTGCATAGGCTACCATTCACATTCCTCTCCCCGTGCCCTCATGGGATAGTAAAATGTCCAACAGATGCGCACTTCGGAAGTAGGTCATCCATGAACTTTTCACCTAAAGTTTTTTGGATACTACGTATTCTGATTTACTCTTTTTGCATAATTTTTTTGTAATGTATAAAGAAGCAAGCATTTCTTTCTTGCGTGGAACACAACGGGATTTATTTAGCAGAATGTCCAAGCTGCTCTTTTCCATATATATATATATATATATATATATATATATATATATATATATATATATATATATATATAAAATATATATATATATATATATATATATATATATATATAGGCCCATAATATAAAATACATGCATTAAAATAAGTTAGGCAACAAAAAAAAAAAAAAAGATAGTTCTATTTTAATTCAGTTTTTCCTTTTAAATGTCTTGAAAAACCTGTATATAAGGAAGCCCAATTTTAAAAGTGCGATATTTAGACCTGGACAAGTCATGTACATTAATAAAATGGTAAAACTCTATTTGCATTAGTGTAAAAAAAAAAAAACTAAAATAGAGTAGGCTATTGGGTAGAAATTATGATTAAAAAATATATATATTTTTAAATCCTTATCCGTAATCCTTTTTCAGTAAATCACAAACAGCAGTCAGGAGGCCTTTAAATGTTGTCAACAATGGAGTTCAATTGAATTGCTGCTTTTAATGTTCATGTCTGATCTGAGAGGTAAAAGCCTTTTTTTTACACTGCTGATAAAAAAAACCCATTATAAATACAGAGATGATTTGATATTTCACAACAATAAGAAGTTCCGATATAATAATTCAAGCTGAGCTCTAGGCGGTTAGGTGCTCATCTTACTATTCTCTTCAACCCTATAGTGAGAGAAGAGCCTTCAGTTACATCTTGAGAGTAGACCTCCGTGGAAACTTAAAGGCTCAGCAAGGGGGAGGTTGTCATGGCAACAGGGAGAACTGGTAATGACTGGGAATGGAAGACTGTACCCTGTAATTCTGCTATCATGCAATGACATCATTTTTCAACTGAAAATTAGCTGAATCCATCAACTTGTTTTGATGGTAAATTCTGTTCAAGGCACAATCATGATGATATGTTAATATGCACAGGGTTTCATTTTGCACAGACTTATGCAATATAGGCATATTATTTTTAACCGTACGTCAGCCTTCCAGATAATTGCTGTGCACCCACCTTCCCAAATATCTGCTAAAGACATATCACCTCAGGGCTGCGGTATACGCTTGAGTTTAGGATAAACCCGGCTGCTTAAACAAGATTAGCAGGAGGTAATTAGTGTATTCGGTTAAGGCAGAGTTTGCAGGATGTGAGTGAGAGAGGATCATTGTTTTTCATAAGTAAGACCATCAACACATCTGCCATGGATTATCTATCACGACGAGGAGTAATACGTGGCAGCCATGTTGAAGCAGAAGGTGAACATGGCAATGATGCCCCCAAGGGTCTGTTTCACACTTTGACTGTCACATCGTATTATAAACACTCAATCCTTTCTGCCAGAAAAAAGCTCCCTCTGTGCTGAACAAAGGTGTCGCTATTAGAACTGGATTTACCTTCTTACTGTCATACAAACTGTAAAAATTATTAATTAGGACAAAAAGTAGCTTTCTATCTCTTTGAGCTGAAGTTTTGCTTATAGCAAAAAAAAAATGTAATAGAAATAATATATACACTCACCTAAAGGATTATTAGGAACACCATACTAATACTGTGTTTGACCCCCTTTTGCCTTAAGAACTGCCTTAATTCTGCGTGGCATTGATTCAACAAGGTGCTGAAAGCATTCTTTAGAAATGTTGGCCCATATTGATAGGATAAAATCTTGCAGTTGATGGAGATTTGTGGGATGCACATCCAGGGCACGAAGCTCCCGTTCCACCACATCCCAAAGATGCTCTATTGGGTTGAGATCTGGTGACTGTGGGGGCCATTTTAGTACAGTGAACTCATTGTCATGTTCAAGAAACCAATTTGAAATGATTCGAGCTTTGTGACATGGTGCATTATCCTGCTGGAAGTAGCCATCAGAGGATGGGTACATGGTGGCCATAAAGGGATGGACATGGTCAGAAACAATGCTCAGGTAGGCCGTGGCATTTAAACGATGCCCAATTGGCACTAAGGGGCCTAAAGTGTGCCAAGAAAACATCCCCCACACCATTACACCACCACCACCAGCCTGCACAGTGGTAACAAGGCATGATGGATCCATGTTCTCAATTCGGTTTACGCCAAATTCTGACTCTACCATCTGAATGTCTCAACAGAAATCGAGACTCATCAGACCAGGCAACATTTTTCCAGTCTTCAACTGTCCAATTTTGGTGAGCTCTTGTAAATTGTAGCCTCTTTTTCCTATTTGTAGTGGAGATGAGTGGTTCCCGGTGGGGTCTTCTGCTGTTGTAGCCCATCCGCCTCAAGGTTGTGCGTGTTGTGGCTTCACAAATGCTTTGCTGCATACCTCGGTTGTAACGAGTGGTTATTTCAATCAAAGTTGCTCTTCTATCAGCTTGAATCAGTCGGCCCATTCTCCTCTGACCTCTAGCATCAACAAGGCATTTTCGCCCACAGGTCTGCCGCATACTGGATGTTTTCCCTTTTCACACCATTCTTTGTAAACCCTAGAAATGGTTGTGCGTGAAAATCCCAGTAACTGAGCAGATTGTGAAATACTCAGACCGGCCCGTCTGGCACCAACAACCATGCCACGCTCAAAATTGCTTAAATCACCTTTCTTTCCCATTCTGACATTCAGTTTGGAGTTCAGGAGATTGTCTTGACCAGGACCACACCCCTAAATGCATTGAAGCAACTGCCATGTGATTGGTTGATTAGATAATTGCAATAATGAGAAATTGAACAGGTGTTCCTAATAATCCTTTAGGTGAGTGTATAACGGTATATAATTTTTTTTTTTATTCTTTATGTATAAATAAACAAGTTCAAAAATAGCATTACGCACACACACTGGAATATGTGGTTTACAGGGACTGTTCATAGGCGTACTGGTTTTGATACTGTACAAATGTATATTCTATCCCCTTACACTAACCCTACCCATCACAGAAAACTTTCTGCATCTTTTGAATTAAACAACAAAAACAACACTGTGTTTATGTTTTCTACGCCATTTGGTTTATGAAGACACAGGAAGTGTAAACCATGTTTACATTGTAATACCCATGTCATTATAAATATTTGTGTCCTCATAAACCATATATACAAAAACAGTCACATACACGCACATATATATATATATATGTGCGTGTATGTGACTGTTTTTGTATATATGGTTTATGACAATATATGGCTTATGGTATATTTACATATATATATACAGTATATATATATATGTAAATAATTTACTTTTTATTTTTTTATTTTTTTTATTATGTTTTATATATGTGATATGAGAGAGAGATTAGGTGCTAGAGAAACATTTCTTATTATCAATATTAATATTTATACTCAAAACTTTTTGTGATCTTTTTTTCAGGATTATTTGATGAACTGCTAACTTTATAAATGTCCTTACTGTCACTTTTGATCAATTTATTGCTGAATAAAAGCATTAGCCTATTTTCTTTAATACATTTACTATACATATTAATGATAATTAATATATAGTGCAATTATATTACTTATCAAATAAGAGTATGAATGTAGTTGTCACACATATTAAGTAAAGTTGGATCTCACCTGGAGCAGCTGATGAGACTGATGTCCACTGCTAAGATTTTGGTTCAAACTATCCATGACCAGTGTGTCACTTACTCGCTCGGGGACATGAGAATCCTGCAAGAGACAAAAACAGTGTTGACGCGACCTTACAAATCGTATCAAATTAATCAGTTTACAATCCTCACCAGTATATCTCTCGGTTTTGTTAGTAACTTCTTATTCTTACAGCAACTAGGACATTCTACTAACTTTGTTTGTGTTATATGAAAGATCATACAGGTTTGGTCTTACTTGAGGGTGAGTAAATGATTACAGAATATTAATTTTGTGGGTGAGCGTTCCCTTTTTGGATCCACTTTACATTCTTTCACATATATTCTCATTAACTGGTGTCTTAGTACATAACAACTATGCTATGTCAGGCAAGTATCCACAGCATTATTTTTTTATTTTTTTATTTATTTCAACAGGGACAATGTGCAAAAAAACATTAATTAAAGATGGTTTGCACCAGATTTAGCTTAAGCTAATTTCCATCTGGAGTCCCCGGTTCCATACACACACAATAGTGCAAGTGGGAGACATGCAGCCTCCGGCATTCCCCGTCTGCATCCTCAGCTGACTCACTGCCCTGACGAATAGAGCCTGCACTCATACAAATGGCATTTGCAAACAGATAACGCTGATTTACCCCGTCGGCCCAACTCACACTGACTCTCACCGGCCGTAAGCTGCCTTTTCCTCTGAGACCTGACACATACACGCACACAGACCTTCCTGCCCTGACATTCCAGTGCTCTTACTCACTGTGCTGTCTTTGACTTCAACCAGAGCAGAACGTATCCCTCCAATGCCTAAATGTATACATTTACCTGTTGGCTAGTCAAATGCGGAACTGCGTTATGTATTGTAACTTTTGCAGCTTCGGATCTAGAAACAGGCTTGTGGTGAAATGAATTCAGTGAAACCCAAAACTGCATAATCTGAGGTAATTACTGTAATTAGTCTGTGAGATTCGATGATAGCACCTTTGTTATGAGATACAAAAACACTTTTTTGAAGGTTGGAGAATTTAAATTGCTCGGCACTGAATCAAATTTCACAAAAATCTAACCTTTAAATACTTGAAACCACTTCACCTGAACAAAAAGGCCTTATAATTCAAAAACTGGATCTACAAACTAAATGACCTGCTCATGAAAATCTAATGATGTTTTAAATATTTAACAACCGAGCATGTATCCATCAAGAATTTAAAAAAGGAAATAAGAAATATGCTGTTTAAAAGGTGAAATACAAAATAAATTCTAAAAATGTACCTTCTTCCAGGTGTCCAACGAACACAGCGCCTCCATTTTTGAGCATTAAGATCAAGCTTTTACAGCATCAAAGTCCTCAGAAAATGTAACTGTGCTATTTTCTGTCTCTCTAGTCTCTCTACATCTTCATTTAGAGGATACCTGCTCCTATTCAAAACAGCACGGACCTGCCTATACATGCTGCTTTGAGCTAAATCACACATTCCTGCCTGTTGGCTACAGCCCTGATAACAGATGTTACTGCGTTGGTCAATAAAAGGATGAAGCTCCACAAAAGAAAAAAGAAAGACGGCGAATTACAGTGAACGATGAACAAGAGAGGAAGCCTAACAAGTTGAAGCAAACACAAGTGAGTAACAATTGATGTATATGTAAGTCATGCGGGAAACATACAAAGACTATGAGGCAGACAGAAGATCCGACAGATTGATATTGGGTTTGATCACACTCCAAAACTCTGTTATTGCCACATGCCTCTTAGCTCATCAAAGCCAATATGCACAATATAAAAAGGCATTGAGTCACATTTCCCTACTAGTGTCTTTATACAGTTTGAATCTGTTCCAATTTGCAAACGCTCACATATTACCAGACACAACAATGTGAAGGACAGCACATTTTCCCAATTGAAGCATAAAGGCTGGTATTGTCTCTCTAAATAGGAAAGCACTCTCTGTTGACACTGCCTGAAGAGCGCAATGGAAAAAAGATGGAGATGTGGTCGATCGAAGGCATGTACGTCTGGCATGTAGCTGCTCACTTACTCCAAACTGTAGCTCACATGTAACTAAGCGAAGAATCAAATCATATGTTTGGATCCACACTTCTAAAAATACGTTTTCTAATCGATAGCCTATCTATGTTATCTACAGTACATAGAAACATCATCTTGTTTCTTTTAATTTGTGTAGTGATTTTAATAAAAAAAAGTTTGATTATTATATTACACAGATCTGTGGAATACTTGATTCTGGTTGGTCAATCGCGCCATCCAGCTGTATGTTATTTCCCGATAATAACCGGTAAAAACTGATAACACAGGCTCATCCGGGTTACTGAAGTCAGCTCTACACCTGCTAGGAATTTTTCTTTGTGGAAGTTTTTTGTTTGGGGAGCTAATACAATATTAAAACTCAAAACAATGTTTTGTGTATAATTATTTAATTTAATTACATCATCTGGGGATCGTGGAATGACTGTACCGTATATCCCTCAAATGTCCCGTATAATTTGAACTTGTCGCTTAGCAACTGCTTTCTCTGCGGAAGCTTTGCATTTAAATACCTAATAAAAAATTTCAACATGGCATTTTACATGACAATGATATGCTTAAATCAAAGAAGTCTGTCCTTTGAGTTTTCCGCGTACTGACGATACCATTGTCAAAATGATCCCTATTCACACGGATCTCCGAATACGACTAAAAACCCTGCGTTCTGCTGCCAGACCATTAGATGGCAATGAAACACTATGGATTAAACACGTAATACGCATGTGCATAACATCATCGTTTTCAGAGATTTTTTTCAGAGATTCGCGTTTTTGTTTACACGGAGACTGTTTTCAAAAACTTTGCGTTTTCAGGCACTCAAAACGATGTTGTCCTGTAAATGAATAGCCAAAACGCATAAAAGTTTTAAGTTGAAAACGGTTTTGTGTAAACAACCCCAAATTATTTACTTATGTGGCAAGTAGCCGTATAATTAGTGGAATAATTTACATCCATCTGTTTTTTATTGCAGAATAAACTTCTTCAGGGTGATGCAAGATCCCTACTGATCACCCTTGTCTGGGTGTATATGCGATATACAGGTCCTTCTCAAAAAATTTGCATATTGTGATAAAGTTCATTATTTTCCATAATGTAATGATAAAAATTTTACTTTCATATATTTTAGATTCATTGCACACCAACTGAAATATTTCAGGTCTTTTATTGTTTTAATACTGATGATTTTGGCATACAGCTCATGAAAACCCAAAATTCCTGTCTCAAAAAATTTGCATATCATGAAAAGGGTCTCTAAACGAGCTATTAACCTAATCATCTGAATCAAATAATTAACTCTAAACAACTGCAAAAGATTCCTGAGGCTTTTAAAAACTCCCAGCCTGTTTCATTACTCAAAACCGCAATCATGGGTAAGACTGCCGACCTGACTGCTGTCCAGAAGGCCATCATTGACACCCTCAAGCAAGAGGGTAAGACAGAAAGAAATTTCTGAACAAATAGGCTGTTCCCAGAGTGCTGTATCAAGGCACCTCAGTGGGAAGTCTGTGGGAAGGAAAAAGTGTGGCAAAAAACGCTGCACAACGAGAAGAGGTGACCGGACCCTGAGGAAGATTGTGGAGAAGGACCGATTCCAGACCTTGGGGGACCTGCGGAAGCAGTGGACTGAGTCTGGAGTAGAAACATCCAGAGCCACCGTGCACAGGCGTGTGCAGGAAATGGGCTACAGGTGCCGCATTCCCCAGGTCAAGCCACTTTTGAACCAGAAACAGCGGCAGAAGCGCCTGACCTGGGCTACAGAGAAGCAGCACTGGACTGTTGCTCAGTTTTGCATGTCATTCGGAAATCAAGGTGCCAGAGTCTGGAGGAAGACTGGGGAGAAGGAAATGCCAAAATGCCTGAAGTCCAGTGTCAAGTACCCACAGTCAGTGATGGTCTGGGGTGCCATGTCAGCTGCTGGTGTTGGTCCACTGTGTTTTATCAAGGGCAGGGTCAATGCAGCTAGCTATCAGGAGATTTTGGAGCACTTCATGCTTCCATCTGCTGAAAAGCTTTATGGAGATGATTTCATTTTTCAGCACGACCTGGCACCTGCTCACAGTGCCAAAACCACTGGTAAATGGTTTACTGACCATGGTATTACTGTGCTCAATTGGCCTGCCAGCTCTCCTGACCTGAACCCCATAGAGAATCTAACACCTCAGCAGTGCCCCAGGCTGATTGCCTCCATGCCACGCCGCATTGAAGCAGTCATTTCTGCAAAAGGATTCCCGACCAAGTATTGACTATTGAGTGCATAACTGAACATAATTATTTGAAGGTTGACTTTTTTTTTTGTATTAAAAACACTTCTTTTATTGGTCGGATGAAATATGCTAATTTTTTTAGACAGAAATTTTGGGTTTTCATGAGCTGTATGCCAAAATCATCAGTATTAAAACAATAAAAGACCTGAAATATTTCAGTTGGTGTGCAATGAATCTAAAATATATGAAAGTTTCATTTTTATCATTACATTATGGAAAATAATGAACTTTATCACAATATGCTATTTTTTGAGAAGGACCTGTATTATATTGTATTATATGAAAAAAGTCTGAAAAATATTTGACACCATAAAAAATGTTAAACAAGAAAAAAAAGTCTAAGAAAATGTTTACAGTGGCACTATTCTTTCAAACTTTTTCAATGCCCGAGGGTTGGCTTGCTTTCATAATCAAGTTTAGAGATGATATGTTGTTTTGAAAGGTGGATGACACAACATTCAGCTCTTCAAAATGACAGCACTGTGGGCTGGAAGGAGGCCACGGATTAATGGTAGATACATCTCTGAATGGAAAGACATGATGGTGCTTTTTGGAATATAGATGTTCCACCACATGTGATCTACACTCTCATACATATTGCTGAGGTTCATTTAAAGGATTTCCCTTGAAGATAATATTCTGTATGCTCAGGAAATGCTGAAGGAGAAGAAATTTGTAATTGGTTTATAAGAGAGTGTGGAAATGTGGTAAAGACGCTTGCAGCGAGTCCTGACTGTTGTAGGGTAATAACAGCTTTCT